CTTTGTTGAAATCGGGTCTCTCTTGTAAATGAGTCCTCGAGGCTCAATGGGATTTACCTGTCTAAATAAAGGTTGAATTGAATTTCTCAAATTGATTAGTGGAACTCTCTCCTATTTGGTCTGCCACACAAATTACTCCGTAAGCTTCAAATGGTTCTAAATTCAGCTGCCCGCATCGTTACCAAAAAACCCTCATTTCACCACCTCACCCCAGTTTTACAGCAACTTCACTGGCTTCCAATCACTTTCAGAATTAAATTTAAAATCCTGTTGTACACATTCAAGGCCATCCATAACCTCGCCCCTCCCGATCTGTCCCATCTTGTGTACATTATCACCCATTTACGCTCCCTTCGTTCTTTCTCTTCCATCCACCTCAACGTGCCTCTCGTCCGCCTCAGCACCATGGGACACAAAGCCTTTTCTCACTCTGCTCCCCAACTCTGGAACACTCTTCCCCCCAAACATCTGTAATATTGACTCCCTTCAGACCTTCAAATCACAACTCAAAACTCATCTGTTCAAGTTAGCCTTCTCACTTTATTTTTTAATTTTCTTCTTACTTACTTCTAACCTACAAAGCTCTCAACAACCTGGCTCCATCTTATATTACAGACCTTATTGTTCCATATTTTCCTAACAGAGCGCTTCGCTCTCAGACTGCAGGTTTACTTGTGGTTCTTAGAATTTACAAAAACAGAATGGGAGGCAGATCTTTCAGTTATCAGGCTCCTCTCTTGTGGAACCAACTGCCAATCTCTGTCCGTGAGGCTGACACATTATCCAGTTTTAAAACAAGGCTTAAGACATATCCTTTTTGCTAAATCTTATAGTTAGGATCGGCTTGGGTTTCCTGAGCTGTCCCTTAGTTATGCTGCTATAGGCTTAGACTGCTGGAGGACAAACTGACCACAATTTTCACTCTACTTCTGTCTTTACTTACTCTGCTCAACCTGTTTTGTATTTGTAATTATTTTTTCTATCCTTAACATGTGTTTTTTTTGTCTTTCAGATACACCTGGACCTATACCTGGACCTATACCTGGACCTACCATTCTGTGTTCGTCTGTCTCTCCTCCCTTTCCTCTCAACCAGCCGGTCAAAGCAGATGGCTGCTTGCTGAGCCTTGTTCTGCTGGAGGTTTCTTCCTTTTAAAAGGGAGTTTTTCTTTCCACTGTTGCCACTGTGCTTGCTCAGGATGGAAGACTGCATTGAAGCCAAGATTCATCTTGTCTGCTGGATTCCTTAGATAGAGAACTTTACTAATTGGCTTTTATGTGAATGTTCCTGTAAAGTGCCCTGAGACAACTTTGTTGTGATTTGGCGCTTTATGAATAAACTGAATTGAATTGAATTCGTGGTTTAGTGTTTTTATAGCCATTTTGTATTGCTTTATTTTGTGTTTTATTTTGTGTTTTTAATGTTGTGAAGTGTCCTTGGGTGTCTTGAAAGGCGTTAACAAATAAAATGCATTATTATTATTATTATTATTATTATTAATAATTTTCTAACAAGTGAGGGGAGTGTGATAGGAAGATGGAAGGAGTACTTTGAGGAGCTAATGAATGAAGAGAATGAAAGAGAAAGAAGAGTAGAGGTCATAGAAACTATGGACCAGGAAGTGGGAAAGATTAGTGAGGGTGAAATCCGGAAAGCTCTGAAAAGAATGAAGAAGAGGAAAGCAGTAGGACCTGAAGACATTTCAGTGGAGGTTTGGAAATGTCTTGGAGCGACGCTAGTCAGGTTTTTGACTCAAATATTCAGTGGCATATTTGAGGGTGAGAAAATGCCTGAGGAATGGAGAAGAAGTGTGCTGGTGTCCATTTTTAAGAACAGGGGTGATGTACAGAGTTGTAGCAAATACAGGGGAATTAAGTTGATGAGACACAGGATGAAGATCTGGGAGAGAGTTGTGGAAGCAAGACTTAGATGAGAGATGACTATCTGTGAGCAGCAGTATGGTTTCATGTCAAGAAAGAGCACCACAGATCCATCTTTGCTTTGAGAATGTTGATAGAGAAGTACAGAGAGGGTCAGAAAGAACTCCATTGTGTCTTTGTGGATCTGGAAAAAAACATATGACAGGGTGCCAAGATAGGAGTTGTGGTATTGCATGAGGAAATCTGGAGTGGCAAAGAAGTATGTTAGACTGATACAGGATATGCATGATGATAGCAGGACAGTGGTGAGATGTGCTGTAGGAGTGAAGGATAGCTTCAAGGTGGAGGTTGGAGTGCATCAAGGATCGGCTCTGAGCCCCTTCTTGTTTACTCTGGTGATAGACCGACTAACAAATGAGGTCAGGCAGGAATCCCCATGAACTATGATGTTTGCAAATGACGTGATCTGTGGTGAGAACAGGTGGAAGAGAACTTGGAGAGGTGGAGGTATGCACTTGAAAGAAGAGGAATGAAAGTCAGCCGTAGTAAGACAGAGTACATGTATGTGAATGAGAGCAGCATTTTACAAGAGGGAGGCTGGTGGAACAGTGAGGCTACAAGGAGCAGAGGTCACAAAGGTTCAGGATTTCAAGGACTTGGGGTCCACTGTCCAGGAAAATGGGGAGTGTGGTAAAGAGGTGAAGAAGAGAGTCCAGGCAGGATGGAGAAACGTCTCAAGAGTGATTTGTGACAAAAGACTGTCAGCAAAGGTCAAAGGAAAAGTTTATAAGACAGTGGTAAGACCAGCTATATTGTATGGTCTGGAGACAGAGACATGGACAAAAAGACAGGAGACGGAACTGGAAGTGGCAGAAATGAAGATGTTGAGGTTCTCCTTAGGAGTGACAAGGATGAAGATTAGGAACGAGATCATCAGAGGTACAGCACAGGTTGAAGAACTGGGAGATAAAGTTAGAGAGGACACACTGAGATGGTTTGGACATGTCCAGAGGAGGGACAGTGGTTTGGACATGTCCAAAAGAGGAACAGTTAGTATATCGGTAAAGGATGTTAGAAATGCAGCTGCCAGGAAAAAGACAAAGAGGAAGGCCAAAGAGGAGATATATGGATGCAGTTAGAGAGGACAAGAAGGTAGTTGGAGTGAGGACAGGGGATGCAGAGGACAGAGTGAGGTGGAGGCGGATGACTCGCTGTGGCGACCGCTGAAGAGGGAAAAGACAAAATAAGAAAAAGATTTTACCAGGAAAGAAAACCATTGAAAATATTAATTTCTTTTACAAGGATGTCCTTGGAAACTTTTAGTTTGGAAGCAACAGTCCTGAGAGCATAACTTGACATTGCTCCATAGAAAATGTTCTGGATTTAGCATTTTCTACATTCAAAATCAACTTTAGTTAGAGTGCACAGTAAGGAAAAAAATACATATTTTTTTTACCTCAATAACAATTCCATTATAATTTTTACACCAATTTTTAACAAGCTATTATTTATATCAGTCAGTGAACAGTACAACCAAACTGTTTCCTCATGTAAAAACTGAGCCCTGTACGAAAAACATGACAGCATTTAGGTCAAATAACATTTCTGACTAGATTGTAATTAGTCTGCTAAGTGACACATAAACACACACATGGACATAATTGTCCTCTGTGGTGAACAATAATGACTTCTCCCCTGGTCAAATCTTGTTTTTAACAACCACCACATCCAGACATAATCTACATAAATAATACAGGTCACTTTGACAGTCTGCATTCGACATCATCCAGTCAGATTTGTTCTGTCTCAAACTGATGCTAAATGCTGATAAAACCAAAGGGATGTTGTTTTCAAACAGAAAATTGGTACCATGGTGCTCCTATTGAGTTTGTGGATTCCTACAAATATTTGGGTATTTTGGTCAATTCACATCTCTCTTTTGAGCTCCGTCTGGAAAACTTGGTAAAGAAGCTGAAAGTTAAACTGGGTTTCTTTTTCAGAAACAGATCCTATCTAACTCTGAATGCTAGGAAACACTTTCCTTCCCTCCATTGATTACGGTGACATTATTTACATGAACGCTCCTACAAGCACCCTGCAGATGTTGGATGCGGTGCACTAAGATTCATAACTTTCATTCAACCTTTATTTCTCCAGGTAAATCCCATTGAGCCTCTGGGACTCATTTACAAGAGAGACCTGATTTCTTAACAGAGTGCTGACAACAATGGATAACAATGACAACAATAGACAATCATAAAATAGGCATAGGCATACAAATTTAAGTATATATATTTTTTTACAAATCAAAACAAAATAGCAACTTAAAGGACAATCAAGAAGAATAGTAGCAAAAATAAAACTGCTAGATTATAAGGTGATTTAGAAAACTAAAAACAGGAACATGTCTGCATTGGTTTTTGCCAGGAACTTAACAGAGTTTTAAAGTCACTTAGAGTGGCTAACTGGCTGTAACTACCGTAGCCATCATTGTATTCACCGGTTAACTGGTCACCATTAACTTCACGCAGACTCTCTCACTGGTACATTTTCATCTTTAAATCACTTCTTGGTCTGTTGCCTTCATACATCTCCTCCTACATGTCTCTGTGTGAGTGCAGCTACAGCGTGCGCTCTCAGGACATTATTACCTGCAGTGTTCCCTCAGTGAGGACTGAACTAGAAAACAAAAGGGCCTTCTCCTACTCCGCTCCTGTTTCCTGGAATATCTTGTAAAAAGATCTGAAGCTCTCGACCTTGACCTCTCTAAGTGGCTTCAAACATCTGATAAGTTCCTGATAAGAACCATCACAGACATGTTCCTGGTTTTTTTCTGCATCACTTTATAATGTAGCTTGTTTTCATTTTGTTTTATACAACTAATTGTATTTTCTTTTGTATGCATTTTATGGCTCTGTATTGCTGTTTGTACCTCATCTGTGTTCTTTGTCTAAATCAGGTCTTTCTTGTAAATGAGTCCTTGTGACTAAAGCCACATGCTGTATATCTGAGCTTCAACTGCGACTTTGAGAAAAAAGACTACCAACAGGTTCCCTGAATCAATGCCAAGCTATCTGTCTAATAAAGAAAGCACTACACTATTTATCTGCAACTACTTACATCATCCACCATTAAGGTTGCTATGGCTCGACCAATCTCATTATATGACTTGGTTTTTCTTGGTGGTCCCAAGAGGACAAACAGGAATCTGCAGAGTGGTAAAACATGTGAGGGATGTGCTCCATTGCAATAAGTCAGCTGAAGTTTGACAAGAAGGATGTGTGAGATGTTGGGAACGGTTTTACCTGGTGGGAACAGGCACCTCCGTCAGGCCCCCCAGGGTTGTAGCTTGGCTCAGACGAACAAAAACGACAAAAGGTTTACTGAGGAAATCCACCTCGCCAACTAAAACGTTGGATGCCTCTGCATCTCTGGGGATTTTTTTCATGAATTTGTTTTTAAGCTACAGGAAAGAAAAAAGAGGAAAGAGTGAGAAATGATGATTTAGTCACAGTTTCTCAAGAAATATTTCAAAGCTGTTGACATATTTGCTGTGTAGTTTGTAATAGTGTGTTGTTCACTTGCTGCATATCCACTAAATACACAAAACAAATACATTTCCTGAAATCTGTTTGTTCCAACAATCTCTAAGCCTGGTGTATTGACGAAATTATAAATGGTAAATGGACTGTACTTATTTAGCGCCTTTCAATCTGATTCAGATACCCAAAGCTCTTGACGACACAATCTGTGCCTCATTTACCCATTCATACAGCACTTTGCTAGATCTCTACAAAGACTAATCAGAACTTTATCATATTCATAAACCGATGGGACACACATCGGAGGCAGTGAGAGTTCAGTGTCTTGTCCAGGGACACTCGGGCATGCAACTGCTGGTGGAATCGAACCCCCAACTCTCCCACTGGAGGACGACTGCCCTAACCACTCAGCCACAGCTGCCCAAAATTATAGAAAACAACTTTGTGTTATTTCATGATCCAGAAACCAAACGACCACACGGCAAAATGAAGGCTGACACAGAACATGACGATGACCCGACCTGTCTGATTGGTAAGGAGTTGCAAAAACTGTTGCAGCGGCACAATAACATTCAGTCACACCAAGCTTTGTCAATATTCCACAGACTGAATCTGTGGCTACATGTGAGAGGGGAGCACGTGGAGATCTGAGTTCCAACCCGTTCGGGCTCAATGTTCATGGTGTGAGCACACATGCACACAGAAATGAACCGTCACAATCCTGTTGTTACACGTGCTCCACAGCATGTGTACATGAGTTCAACACATAACTAAACTGCAGGCTGTGGTCCTTGGACCAAGCTGGAAAGAAAGAACTCATTCCCTGTAGTGATGATTGCATATTTTATTATTGCCATTATACATGCTCTGAAATAAATCCTCAATGTTTTCACACACATACCTTTTCCCAGTGAGGGACACTTAATCCTGACCCATCTGATTCAAACCTTAATAGCTTCCATTCTGCAAAACCAGCACACCTCTGCAGTGGCCCGAACATGTGCTTATGGATTCCAGCTCCATTATTCCATGGCCCCACTAATGTGAGGCTTAGATGGTTACACATCTCATCCATCACACCCTGTCACAGTCAGTAGTTACAATGAAACACTTGTGATTGAAAAGATGATCCATTCAACACAATGCATGCTCTAACAGAGAGCAGACGGATGATAGGAAGCAACAAGGTGACAATGATGCACATATATCTGACAGGAACGTAAACACTTTGAGGAGGAAGAAAATAAAAAAACTAAAACAGATTTGCATCTGTTTACTAATTTTCATTAATAATGTTCATGAGACTGTTATGTTATGACATAGAATGAGAAGTGTTTGTCTAGTCCAGGAGGGGTTTACCTGGTCTGGGCTCGGAGTATCTGCAATATCGTTCATACTCCGACTCTGGGCATGACCTGCAAGGGAAAACACTTCTTCAAACATGACATGTATGTTATGTATTTATGGATAAATAGATAATTTATGAATTCAAGGCATCCAGTAGCCTATTCTAATTAAACAGAAAAAAAACATGAAATAATCAAAAAAGAAGAAGCAGAATAAACAAATTTGAAAAAAGACAATATACACATAAACAAGGTTGTAGTGAGTTCTAAATTCATGATTAACATATATACTGTATATGTGTTTATACATACACATACAGTATACACATATAAGTACTATGTTGTCATAGGATGTTTCCATTTATAGACTAAATGAGTTCTCTCTTTAACCCATCACACCTGAGATAGAAGCAGGTGGAGAGTGGGCAGCTATGTAAGTGCCCAGGGAGCAATTAGGGACTAGGCATCCAAAAAAGTTCAATCTGGTCCTCTGGACATTAAAAAAAAAAAAAGCAAAAAAATGTAGAAACGTTTCGTTTCTCATCCGAAAGACTTCCTCAGTCTGAGGTGCTGTATTCAGCTCAGTCTCTTAAATAGCACCGTCTCAGAGTGGATCAACCAGTTTGCTGCTGACAACCAAAACCAGCTGCTCACATGATCAAGAAGGACCATCAGCCTAACAATGGATCATTAGCACCTGATGGCTGTTTACTGTTCACAGAGGGCTGAGTGATACTAGCAATCACAGCATTGTAAGAGGGGGACAGTTGAACCCGGAGGCTCCACCCCTGTTTAATGATGGACGGTTTCTTTTCACAAAGATGGCCTCCTTTACTCCTCTCTCAAACCATCGTTCCTCTCTGTCCAGGATGTGAACATCTTCATCCCTGAAAGAGTGACCTCTGACCTGGAGATGAGTGTAGACCTCAGAGTCCTGGCCTGATGATGTTGATCTTCTGTGCTGGGCCATCCTTTTGGCCAGTGGCTGTTTAGTTTCTCCGATGTAAGACTGATCACCCTCCTGACACTGAACAACATACACAATATTACTCTGTTTGTGCCGGGAGACTGGATCTTTGGGATGAACCAGTCTTTAATGTATTTTGGGGTTTAAAAGCCACTGGGACATTATGTTTAGAAAATAAACGTCTCAGTTTCTCTGATACTCCCTCAACATATGGAATGACCACTGGTCTGGGTCTGGGTTCCTCCTTTTCACCTGATGGCTGACTGGAGTCCTGTTTGGGTTTCTTCTCTGCTTTCAGGAAGGCCCAGTTAGGATATACACATTGCTCTAGAGCCTGTCTTGTGTAGGATTTCTCCTTCTGCCTGGCTCCTGAGCTAGTGGGGATGCTGTCTTCTCTGTGATACAGAGTCCTGATGACTCCTAACTTGTGCTCCAAAGGGTGACGAGAGTTAAACTGCAAATACCGGTCTGTGTGGGTGGGTTTGTGGTACACCTCAGTTTGCAAATGTCCTCTATCAGAGACTGAGACCTCACAGTCCAAGAAAGCCAACCTGCCATTTTTTACATCTTCTTGTGTGAACTTGATGTATTTATCCACAGAGTTGATGTGGTCAGTAAAATGTTGGACTTCCTGAGATTTAATTTTAACCCAGGTGTCGTCAACATACCTGAACCAATGACTTGGTGGTGTCCCTGAAAAGGACGTCAAGGCTCTCTTTTCTACCTCCTCCATGTACAGGTTGGCAACAATAGGAGAAACTGGAGACCCCATAGCACACCCATGTTTCTGCCTATAATATTGCTCCCCATATGTGAACTAGGTTGACTGCAGGCACAGTTTCAAGAGTTGACACAGTTGTTCTGTGGAAAGTGTGGTCCTGCTGCTCAGAGTGGTAACCCAGGTGTCGTCAACATACCTGAACAAATGACTTGGTAGTGTCCCTGAAAAGGACGTCAAAGCACATATGGGGAGCAATATTATAGGCAGAAACATGGGTGCGCTATGGGGTCTCCAGTTTCTTCTATTGTTGCCAACCTGTACATGGAGGAGGTAGAAAAGAGACCCTTGAAGTCCTTTTCAGGGACACCTACAAATAAATAAATAAATACATCAGGTGAAAAGGAGGAACCCAGACCCAGACCAGTGGTCATTCCGTATGTTGAGGGAGTATCAGAGAAACTGAGATGTTTATTTTCTAAACACAACGTCCCAGTGGCTTTTAAACCCCAAAATACATTACGGCAAAGACTGGTTCATCCCAAAGATCCAGTCCCCCAGCACAGAGTAATATTGTGTATGTTGTTCAGTGTCAGGAGGGTGATCAGTCTTACATCGGGGAAACTAAACAGCCACTGGCCAAAAGAATGGACCAGCACAGAAGATCAACATCATCAGGCCAGGACTCTGCGGTCTACACTCATCTCCAGGTCAGAGGTCACTCTTTCAGGGATGAAGATGTTCACATCCTGGACAGAGAGGAACGATGGTTTGAGAGAGGAGTAAAGGAGGCCATCTTTGTGAAAAGAAACCGTCCATCATTAAACAGGGGTGGAGCCTCCAGGTTCAACTGTCCCCCTCTTACAATGCTGTGATTGCTAGTATCACTCAGCCCTCTGTGAACAGTAAACAGCCATCAGGTGCTAATGATCCATTGTTAGGCTGATGGTCCTTCTGGATCATGGGAGCAGCTGGTTTTGGTTGTCAGCAGCAAAACTGGTTGATCCACTCTGAGAAGGTGCTATTTAAGAGACTGAGCTGAATACAGCACCTCAGACTGAGGAAGTCTTTCGGATGAGAGACGAAACGTTTCTATGTCTTTTTGATTTGTTTTGTTTTTGTTTTTTTGAATGTCCAGAGGACCAGATTGAACTTTTTTAGGTCATCTGGACAGTTTCTTCTTTTTTTTTTTTTTCTTTTTTGCTGACAAAACAAAACCGTCCAGATGACCTGACTGAACATTGTCAGTGAGACGAACTGAGGTTTTGGTTTTTGGACCTGAGCACCTTAGGAATGAACGTTTCAGTCTTTCTCCCTCCTTAGATGCATTAATCTGTCCTCCAGCTCTAATGTTAAACATCTTGGTGTTATTTTTGATCAGGACATGTCTTTTATCCCCCACATTAAAAACGTTACTAGAACCTCCTTCTTCCACCTGCGTAATATCACTAACATTAGAAACATCTGATCTAAAGATGATGCAGAAAAACTGGTCCATGCATTTGTCACGTCTAGACTGGACTATTGCAATGGTTTATTATCTGGGTGTCCAAATACTTCTTTAAAACGTCTTCAGTTGATCCAAAATGCTGCTGCCAGAGTCTTAACTGGGGTTACTGGGAGAGATCATATCTCTCCAGTTTTAGCTTCTCTCCATTGGCTCCCTGACAAATCTGGAATAGAATTCAAAATCTTACTTCTAACCTACAAAGCTCTCAACAACCTGGCTCCATCTTATATTACAGATCTTATTCTTCCATATTTTCCTAACAGAGCACTTCACTCTCAGACTGCAGGTTTACTTGTGGTTCCTAGAATTTACAAAAACAGAATGGGAGGAAGATCTTTCAGTTCTCAGGCTCCTCTCTTGTTGAACCAACTTCCAATCTCTGTCCGTGAGGCTGACACATTATCCAGTTTTAAAACTAGGCTTAAGACTTTCCTTTTTGCTAAATCCTATAGTTAGGGTCGGCTTGGGTTTCCTGAGCTGTCCCTTAATTTTGCTGCTATAGGCTTAGACTGCTGGAGGACAAACTGAGCACAATTTTCACTCTGCTGCTGTCTTTAATTACTCTGCTCAACCTGTTTGTATTTGTAATTATTTTTTCTATTCTTAAAATGTGTTTATTTTTTGTCTTTCAGATACACCTGGACCTATACCTGGACCTGGATCTATATCTGGACCTGGACCTATATCTGGACCTGGACCTATATCTGGACTGGACCTATACCTGGACCTACCATTCTGTGTTCGTCTGTCTCTCCTTCCTGTCCTCTCAACCAGCCGGTCAAAGCAGATGGTCTCTTGTCCTGAGCTGGTTCTGCTGGAGGTTTCTTCCTGTTAAAGGGAGTTTTTCTTTCCACTGTCTCCACTGTGCTTGCTCAGGATGGGAGACTGCAACGAAGCCAAGATTCAACTTGTCTGCTGGATTCCTCAGATAGAGAACTTTACTAATGGGCTTTTATGTGAATGTTCCTGTAAAGTCCCTGAGACAACTTTGTTGTGATTTGGTGCTTTATAAAGAAACTGAATTGAATTGTCTTAAATTATGACTGTCACTAGCTTACCATCATAATCCACCTCAATGTTCCTCACTACCTGTGTAATAACCTGTCACACAATCTGTCTAGTTCATGCTAATGTGCAATATATATCGTGCATTTTAGCTTGTATCACTACTCTGAAATACTTATTCATTCAAATTCATCCTGCTGAACCGTTATATTCTACCATGTTGTTGTTTACTATCTCTCTTTAGGACCTTGAAATTACTATAATAATTAATTTGACACTTTTTGGTACTTTATTTTGTACCCTTATTGCATTTTATTGCATTTCATATTTCTTGGGTTTTTCTATTTTTTAGCGAGTGGAATCAGTTCTTCTCATCCTGAACATTTCATCATAGGCGTCACAACCATTATATGTGAAGGGAACATGTCCCCCCCACATTAAAAAAACGTTCATTTGTACCCCCCCCCCCCCACCCACCCACCCCCCCACACACACACTTTTACTATAAAACATTAGTTCAGGCGGCACAGTTTTTCTTTCTTCGTGAACAAATCCATTCCACTTGATTAATAGGAGAATACTCAAGCCATTAAAACTCCACTCCAGGTTTTCCTGGTTACCTCTAACTCCCCACCTTCACAGTCGGCAGAAAACGCGCACAGGTGGAGGAGATGGAGGTTCCTGTGTTACTTGCTCCCCAGTTTAGCAGCTTAGTGCAGGCAGTGGTTGACCAGGGGTTGATCATAAACATATATTCATGTTAGGAGGATGTTTGAGAGGAGCGCCACGTTTGTAGCATGTTAGCTTAGCAGTAACTGTGACGCTGTAAGATGCTGCAGGTGTAAGAGACGCTGAGTTCAGGTGCATTA